CCCCCCCCCCCCCCCCCCCCCCCCCCCCCCCCCCCCCCCCCCCCCCCCCCCCCCCCCCCCCCCCCCCCCCCCCCCGCTAATTTACTCCCGACAAGTACCATCTCTGTTTATGAAGTCTGTGATTTCGTAGAATTCATCAAGCGAGGAGGAATTGACATTCCACCTAAATTTATTAAAAGAAAATTTTGAATAAATATCTTGGAAAATGAAAATATTTTTATAACGAATAAAATAAAATAAAAAAAATATATATTTACTATTGAAAAACTTACCTATGACAACCCTTCCCCGAATTGAAGGAGGGAAGGGTAGCTCGTTAGAGAAGTATCCTATCTCTAACGATTCTAAATTGTGACACATTCGTGCGATGGTCACGAGAGGTGTCTTGTGAATGTTTAGGGGAGAAATTAGGAACGGCATTGGGGAACTTTCTGGAGAATAGTGTTGGATGGTTTCAATACGATTATTAATGGATTATTAAATTTGAAGTTTTTCTTGGATTAGTTAGTAATTTTTGTAAATTTTTCATCAACTATAATATTTAATTTTGTATTATTTCAGAAAGAAATGATGGTGTCCCATTTATATCTTAAAATAAAATGGGGGCGAAGTACAGAAATTACCCCAATTTTCCACAATAGAATTCTTAAAATTTACTTCATGATGTAATTCCTCAGCCAAAGTATGCACATGAAGATTGATCAGCAAATCATTCATTGATAGAATAAAGATGAAACAAGGAGTTAAATTCCTTGTATTAAGTAACACAAATAAAGGTATCGTCGTACGGCCCCTTGAACAAGAGTAGACAGCACTCATAATTTACTAGCTTTGCCTTTGATAGTTTCTTTAAGATATTTTTTTTTTTGATAGAAAAATAAACAATTTACATCAAATAAGGTCAAAATATAAGATTAATTTTGCATGTTATATATCATTTTTGATGAACTGTATATCGAAATATGATGAGTTACAAAATCCGAAAATATCAATTAATTTATTTTTTTTATAAAATGATCTACAATTGCTTCAATAGATTCAATTCATTGTTGTCGCGATAAACTATTCCTGTAATTGCAATCCCACTAAATTTTTTTTACTGTTCTTTTGGCTATTGAATGATTCTCAGTAAAAAAGAATGTTATTTCTATAAGGTTATGAAGTACAGCATAAAAAAATAAAAAGATCATGTGAGCGAAAAATTGTCACGTGTATACAATGAAATTTAGATAATCGATCCATTTTTAAAAGTCACGGGACTGGAAAGTTCCTAGTCTGTCATGTTCGTTTCAATTTTCGGTTTCGTTTTGTGAGCTTTTTTTGTAAGCTTCTTTGCTAAGTAGATCAGGTAAAAAAGTTCTTTTTGAAAAATTTTTTTTTTTGTAAGTTTAATAAAATGCAATACTAAGATTGAATTTTTCTAAAATTCTAACATGAAGGCGTGCCTTGATTGATAAATTCAATTCTCTTTCTTGTTTCATTCCAAGTTAAATAATCCGATTAGTAAAATATTCAAGAACGTGTGATTTCCCGTTTAAAATTTTGTGGGTTGGATTATTCAAGGACAAGCAAATTAATGGAACCGTCTATGCTCTTAATCAACCCGCGATGGTAGTGTAATGTACTGTACATTTGTTATACATCACGTCATACTATTATAATCTTCCGTGATCAGCTTTCCATATGCCCGTTCACCCAAAGAATACACTAATATGATTCATGAAGTGAAAATAAAGTAACGCTACTAACTTTCTAGCACCGAATAGACTTTCAATATCAAAGCTTTTATGGTCATTTTCAAATTCTCCTAACGCAAGTCTCCAAGTACATATCAGATGGCCTTCATTGAATTTAAGTTGCAATGTTTGGTCAGCTCATGTTGCAATCCTTGGCTCTATTGAAAAAGGATGAATAATTAAAACATTGTGAGTAGCAGAAGTAAAATAATAGTTATTGTGTGTCAATTCCTCAATTAAAGTCCCTTCATAAAGAACAAGATCAGAAATACAATCAAAAAATCGAGTAAGAAAAAGATTGATGCATGTGATACAAAGATTCTTATTGGCTGATTTGTGTGTACAAAAAAGCAGGCATTATCCCTTAAATGGCAATGATTTTCATTCAAATTTAGTCATGATTTTCAATCAATTATTATGCAAAATTCTGCATTTTTAAATAAAATTTAAATATACAAAATTTTCAACTTAAATTTATATATTTTATAAAGTTTTTTCAATAATATAAAAATAAATAAAAATTATAAATTCCAATCTTTATAAAGAAAATACTTTGATTAAAAATATTAGAATTTTGATTTTATTTAAAAATATTAATTTTTTTTGATTTGTAATTTTCTTTATTTAAATTTATTCACATGTAAATAATTAAAAAAAAATAAGAAATAGTTATATAAATTAGCAATTCATAAAACTAAAAAATGTATCATATATAGAATTTAAGAAAAAATAATAATTTAATATTTTGTAGAAATATTTGTTAAATATTTTTTACATATTATAATAATTAATAATAATCTTGTTATATTTTGTTAGTAGTATTTAATTTATTATAATAAATATTATAAAAGAGTTTTTATAAAATATTAGTAAAATAAAATATTAATATAATAAAAAAAATAAATTATAAATATTAATTAAATAATTATTAGTAAAAATAATATATTACATAGTTTTAGTAAAAAGAAAATTAGTTAATTAAAATTACAAAATATATAAATTTAAAAATAAATTATTTGTAAAATATAAAATACATTATTATAAATAATTTAACTAGGTTAAAAAAAACTTTTAAAGTATCTAAAATTATTATATTATTATAAAACATATTTTTAATAGTTTAATTTATTAAATACAAAAATATAATAGTAGAAATGTAATAATAAAAAAAATTCATACAAATTATATTATTTAAAAATAAGTACAGTGAACTCTTGATATAACGAATTCTAGGATCTGGATATCAACTTCGTTATAAGCTTATAACGAATTTTTTAAAGAATTTAATTGGCTAGTTCACTATAATAAGGTAATTTAATATAAAATTCGCTATATCAAGAGTTCGCTATATCAAGGTTTGACTGTATTTATTATTTGATTTTAATATATAGGTAATCAACTATTAAAATCATCTTACAAAATATATGATCTGTAAGATGATTTTAATATCTAAATCACTTATGTAACGAAAAAAATATATATAATAAAATTTTATTATTTTTATTAATAAAATTTAATATATAAATTTAAAATTTAAAAGTTAATAATTGTCATTATTATTTAATTATTCAATATAATTTATTATTATTATTAATAGTATAATTATTATATTTTCTAAATTTATTAGCTATTATTTATATATAAATTACAAATAATATATAATATAACTTTTTTTATTTTTTTTTATTTAAATAATTTATTTTAATAAAATATTATAACAGATTATTTTTGGGTAAACTTTATATATATATAAATAATTTTTTATTTTATAAAAATTTATATTAATTAGAAACTTTTTTATTAATATTTAAATTATTAAAAATTGAAATTTATTTAAAATAATAATTTATAATAAATTTTATAATATATTTTAACTAAAAAATTTGTATTTTAGCTTTATAGAATTATGTAGATAATAATTATTATTATTTAAGAAATATTATATATTAAATTTTAAAAAATTTAATAAATTAAAATATGAATAAAGTTATTTATAAAATCTATTAAGATTATAATATATTAATTATGAATTATTAAAATATTAATTATTTTTAAATTTAAATTTTAATTAATAAATATATTAATTTAAAATATCTATTCAATTATTTCATAATAAATTTATGAGAACTTTATAATAAAAAAGAAAAAAATCACAAAAAAAATTAAATTTTTACTTTAATATTTTTTTTTTATTAAAATAATGATAAATTCAAATTTAAATTTTTTAGAGTTTTCATTTTTTTATTATAAGGCTACTATATATAATATTTTATATATTTAAAAAATAATTTCAAATATTATAATAAGATAAATATTAAAAAAATTAATATTAAATTTGTATTTTATCTTCAAATATATATTTTCATTTTATTTAAGTTCATAAATAGATTTACTTGTTAGATAAATAAAGAGAAAATTTAAATATAATAATTAATTTATATAATATTTTAGTATTATTCTTTAAATTGTTTATAAGCAAATAATATAGGCCAAAAGGGGGATTCTGGGACAGATTTCAAATAGACCTCCAAACCCCGCCTACGAATCAAATTTGCTAT